CGGCATTCTCTCAGTCACTTTATTTATTTATTTTTTATGATGTTCCACTCCTGTAAGAAAATTTTGATGCCTGATAGGATTTAGTTTAATCTTTCTATTTCTCACATGAGGGAAACGGGTTATGGAGGCCACCCGGCTGAGGTCAGTGTGCGTCATATACACCTGTCCTTTGATTTTCGCAGTATTTTTTTACGCGAGTTTTTTCAATATGTGATAAATAGTCCCACCCCGCCCCCATTTACACAGATTTTCCCATGTACACAGACTTTTTATACACAATTTCCATTTACGTGGTCTCATTTTACATTTCTGTTATTGGCGATTCCTCTTTCTAAAAAACAATAGCTTAACTCAGCAATATGCGAAGAACTGATACTAACACACAATTATTAATGATCTTCCTGTTCATTGGATGACAAATAAAAAAGCATGGGTGACTACGGATGTTTTTCAGGATTGGTTTCACAAATGTTTTGCTGTAGAAACTGAAAATTACATGCAAGAAAAATGTCTTCCTTTTAAAATACTTTTACTTTTAGATAATGCACCTAGTCATCCATATAATTTAGAACACCCGAATATAAAAAAATGTATATTTGCCACCAAATATAACTTCCTTGATCCAAACTTTAGATCAAGGCATTATTTCCACCTTTAAGATTAATTATATTAAACGGAGTTTTAATGATATTTTTAATAAAATTGAAGATAATGAATCACAGGTATAGAAGCTTGGAATAAGTACACAATTTTAAGCTGTTTCAAGAATGTTGCTTGAGCTTTGAGTGATATAAAGCCATCAACTTTAAATGCTGGCTGGAAAGCAATATGAGCAGAAGTGGTTGTACCAGGGAATATGGTTCCAATAACTGACGAGGGATTAACTGGCATTATTCATTTATTAAATAAAGTTCAAGAAGAAAGCTATGACAGTTTGAATGTAGATGATATTAACGAATTACTGGTTGATCACAAATTAACTGATAATGAATTCACTTAATATCTGAAGCCCATCCTGATGATGAATACGGCAGTGACCTTGAACCAGTTTCATTCACTGCAGAAAATATTTACAAAGCTCTTCAATTGGCCACAGAACTGGAAACTGCAATTCTATATATCGATCCAAACATCTAATGGGCCTTAAGATTTCAAAGAGATTTTTAAAAATGTTGCAGCAAATATCCAAGAATCGATGAAAACTTAGCAAAAGATGGGGTTGGAAAAAGATCATCCAGAAACATAAATAATGAAATTGAAGCAGTACTTCCAAATGTTTCGAGCGATGAAAATAGTAATTTTGTGCCAATTAAAAAGGAAAGGTTGATTGCTTTAGATTACAGTATAGACACTGACAGCGAATAAAATTTATTTTGGTTTTTCTAAATTTTCATTAGCATTTTTTGGTGCAATCATGTGAAATAAATATTTTTATGACTTATATTGACCTATTTAGTATTCTTTTTCATATTGGTGGACTCTTTATGGGATTTTCTTCCGTGTAAAAAGAAGACGTGTGAAATGCATAATCCACGTAAATCAGGGAATGGGTGTACTCGTTTCTAGCTGACCTCAGCTACTTGGCTGTGGACAGTGCATTTTAGAGTTCTCCTCTCTTGGCTCTAGGGAAAGGAATTGCATGACAGGTAATTTTTAGAATAAACCATATCCCTGGTTTGGGAGTGCAGCTGCCTTGTTGGACACTCCAACGACAAAAACCACCTGATCGTTCTATTTCCCTGATGGTTATATGGCTTACTATTTAGTAAAAGTTTTCTTTTGTTGTTAGCATACCTTGAACCCTTCAGTTCACTGACCTGACTGTCCAGTAAGAACCAGAAAATCCATAAGACTTAGACTTCTTAAATCTATTTTCTATGTTTCTAACTAAAAGAAGTGCAAAATCCCTGTCCAAAAAGAAAAAAAAAAATGTTGACTAAATAATTGTATTCACGTAGCTTGTATATTTTCATTTGCCATATAATCTAATTCTCAAATTCTCAACTAGAGATGGCACTACACCCAAAGGGGGCATTTGGAAATGGGGGATTTTGTTGTCACAACGGCTGGGGCAGCACTGGCATTTAGAAAGCAAAGCTTGCTTGGGACGTTGAACATCCTGCAGGTTTTAGGACAGTCCCACACAAAGAAAATTTGGCCCACCTAAAAATATAGTCCTGCACAAAATGCTGTAGCTCTTCTGCTGATAGATTCAGTGTGAACCAAGGAAAATATAATTACCAAGAGGGTAGAAAGTCACATAGCGTGTGAGCATTTTAGTGAGAGAGAACAGATACTACAAATTGCCAAATGCTCGGTGTCTTCATGTCTCACCAGGGTTTGTTTGTGAATTGACACAGGTGGTGTTGCGAGAATCCATGAAGCTGCTGGTGGTCAAATCCGAGCTGCTGGCCCTTAGAAGAAGCTCCTGCCATCCTTAACCACTGGATTCCAAATTATTAAATTGAAATGTAACTGTATTCCTAGTTAGTATGTCAAATACTGACCACTCTTGATAGAAACCTTGCGACATTGGCCTTGTTGGTCTTTAGCGAAGTCTCATGTTACGGTTCTATTTATGAGCTTCGGCTGCTGATAAAATGCTTCCTGTACTATGTACTCTATTATCATAGTGATCCTCCCAAACGTAGTCATTCCAACTTGGAAATTCACCGTGTAACCATTCTTATTCCCAAAGTTGGAGCATATAAACATTTAGATGTTATTTCCTGTAAATATTCTAGACATTTACCTAGACTCTACTTAAACATATTCTGAACTTGGGCTGCATATTTCACTGTCTGTATTTAGAGGGAGAAGAAATTCCAGAGAGTTTTCCCCATCTCTGGGTTTTCTTTGTTAGAAGTTACTATTTAGAAGCCATTTTTTTTGTTTTGTTTTGTTTTTTGTTTTTTTGTTTTTTTATTAAGCTTAGTCACTTGCAAAATGTGTTGTCCCACATTACTCCTTGGGTGGCTAACAGAATAAGTCCAGTTGAGTGAACACAGTGGGGAATGATTTCTGTTTCCTTATGCATAGTCTTATAGACACGGGCAACTGAGCCTAGCAAGGAACTTTTCATGTTGCTTCTTAAAATCTGCAAGCTGTAGGCACTCCAAACCATCGAGTGGCTTTTGGACTAAATGAATTGTGTGTCTCACGCACAGGTGTTTGGTTTTCATGTCGTTGCTATTGTTTTTCTCTTGTATCTTGGGGCTTTTATTTGTTTATTTGCTCCTGTGTTTGCTCAATTCTAATAAAACCAGACACAAGTGGAGAATCACAGTGCTCTGAGACAAGGGGACCCTGAACTGGACCAGTATGTCACTTTAATGGACTTTAATATAAATACATCTGAACGGGGGACAAATGACACTAGAATGTATACTCTATCTGTTTTATGCCATATAATAAGGGGTTTTCTTAATTTTGTTTCTTGTGGTGAAATGTAACTTTCAGATTAAAATGACCTTTTCTTCTTTGAAACTTTTTTTTTTTTTTGACTTCTACAATAAAGAGGTTGGAAAGATCCATAATTCTGACTGAGGTTTGCAACCAGGAAATATAAAGAAGTCTTAATAGAAATCTTGTTTATGTGCTTTTAGAACCAGCTACAGTTTAAGACTTTATTAGTTATGGAAATTGTGTTTGTTCATGTATGCGTATATACGAAATAAAATATATGCCTCCACTAATGCAGTGCCATTCATCTTGGTGACTATCGGGGAAAATCTCTTTTATGACAAGCACACAGAAAATGATAGTATGGTCTGACTTTCAAAAAATGCCTCCCCATGTTTCTTACAGCTTTATTTCGCTAAAGGTCTGTTTTGTTGTGATCTGTTGTACCTCACAGCACCATTGTGACCGTGATGATGCCTCATTTGCATGATGTGTACGTTGTGTTTAACGTGAAATACATTTTCACTGAGGAGTCTGATGGCGTGCTAGCGTTTTGTTTGTTTCTGTAGGCTCAATGAAGAAATATGCTGAAACCAAATCAGATTTTTTAAAACTCGTGGAAAAAAGCAAAAGTCCTGTGTGGGTGTCCCTTCCCTTTCAGACTCATTAAGATTCCTCTGTTGTCACTTGCAAGTAAAGCCAACTGTGGCAATAAGTGATGAGCTACGCTAGGACGTGATGAACTTCTAAGCACAGTAAAGCTGCTGTACTTTCAG